AAGTGGATCCAGAAAGAATGCAATGGTGCGCACATCCGAGCTAAAGCCATGAAGATAGCATTCAGTTTCACTACATATTGAATATGGAGGATAAGGAAATCTTTACGTTTTGATGGAGCTACATGCAATGTGAAAGATATGATCGCTCACATTAAGTTTATGGTATAAAGTGTTATATTCCATCTATCCATATCATGTGATTACTTTTTGATATTGCCGTCACCTAGTTTTTTTGCTGTTCTTTTTGGTGGTGATGGGACATCCTTACTTGGGATAGCCTACATTTTTGTTCTACACGTTGTACAGGACTACTTTGGATATCTATATATTTTTACATTTCACCAAAAAAAAAACGTGTAGTGCATCTTAACAGTAACTAAATTGTTAACTTTTTAAAATTTTTAAAAGTAATAATAATTTTGTCAACAAATGTAACTCACTCCGTTAATAAGAGTTGGCCAAACTTGACTTACCCGTGTAATAAGTAGGGATGGATTCGGGCCGGGTCGGGCCCGGGCCGGGCCGGTTAAATATTTTTTTTTTTTAATTTATATTTTATACTTTATAGTTTTATACAAGTATTAAAAAACAAACTTCAAGTGCATTTATTTGAAATGAAATAGGAACTACATTTGAAAATTAAATAGGAACTATAATTGTTTTTAATCGGAATCTCCGGCATAGGTAGAGCCACCCTCTGTAGATTCATCCATAAAGTGTTGGGATGGAGTGATGTCAATTTCTTGAGCTATACGTGCTGCTTTCAACCAATCATGGTAGCATATAAGCATCTCAAGAGATTCAACGCTCAACCTCGTTCCGGTTTGTGTTAGAACATTGCCGGCCGAACTAAATTCTTGTTCCACGGCAACCGTTGAAACCGGCATTGATAGCACTTGCTTAACCATCTTTGCTAAAACCGGGAACATTCTTTCTTTTCCCTTCCACCAGTTTAGTACGTCAAAATCATCATCTTCTTCAAAATCAACATCATAAGTTAAATACAAAGAAATCTCATTAATTGTGCTTTGTTGTGTAGCGGGAGTTGATTTTGTTTTTTTAATAAGATTGGCAAACGTAGATTTGAAAATTGATTTCCCTTTAGATGATGTTTGTGTCGGGGGAGGGGGCGCATTGCCATATTGTGCATGAAACTCATTGAATAATGCATAAAATATATCACTAAGCTCGTTGTATTCTTTTTTCGGATCAATTGGGTTGTCCTCATACATTGGCAATGGACCAAAAAAAGCAGCATAATAATAATTCAAACATTCTTCTAAAGAACCAAGTCTAAAACGAGGATCGAGAACAAATGCAATACCATAAATATGCGGAATATGTGAATAATATTTTAAAAACTTTTCCTTCATATATAAAACCAGCAAAATAACTCACATAATCAGCATTCTCAAAATTTGAAAAAGCACCGGCGAGATTAACAACTTCACGAATAAATTGGTTTGAGGTAGGTTTATAAACAAGACTAAAAGTTTCAGTTGCATTATTAAAATATATCAAAGCATTACAAATTTTTTCACAGGTGTCGATCTCAGCCGAGTTTATAATATAGTTATCATATTGTTTCATAAAAGCAGGAAAATGTTGTTTATATCTAAGAAGAACTTCAATTAACTTATAGGTACTATTCCAACGAATAGACAAATCTTTTGGAAAAGCCACATATCTCTCACCCCTTTCTATCAAATAATCATGCCATTTTTTCCTAAGGTGTCCATTACCCCAAATACGTCTAATCCCCCCCTTGACTACCTCCAACGATGCTCCCAACGCTTTTAGACCATCTTGCACACATAAATTTAGAACATGACATTCACATCGTTGATGAAAAAATCTACCCATCAAAGAAGTAGAACCACACAATTCACGCAATCTAGGAATAGCAGCAGTATTATTAGTAGCATTATCAAAACCAATAGCAAACACCTTATCAATTAAATTATACTCAATTAAAATACGTTCAATCAAAATATAAATATGTTCAGCGGTGTGACGATCATTAAATTCACGGAAAGCAAGAACACGTTTATGCATATGCCAATCATTATCAATATAATGTACAGTCAGACCCAAATAATGTAAATTATGATAAGTATCCTCCCATATGTCAGAACATACAGTAACACGTCCATCAAAGTTTGCAAAATAATTTTGTAACCTTACCTTTTCCGCACCATAAAGCCTTGAAATTTCTTTCTTAACCGTTTTGCGACTATAACCTCTATATTGCGGATTTAAACAAGTTTGTGCATAATCACGAAAAGCAAGACTTTCAGAAAACAAATAAGGCAAATTTTCTTCAACAAGTAAGTTAGTCATACCTGTCAAATTTTGTGCATCATTGTATGAGAAATTACCAAAAGCTTGTTGGTTATTTGCAAACCTCGATATTTGCGTTTGTTTCCCCGTTCCGCCGCCTAATTTTGCATACTCCACCGGGTGTTTGGACTTAAGGTGTCTTGTGGCGGATCCGTATCCACCGGAAATCCCCAAGCTATAGTTTTTCTTGCACCAATTGCAAGTTGCGGTCCAATTCCCGGTGTTCGGGTCCTTCCACTTAGAAAAATTATTAGCCATTAATTCAGATTTACTTTTTTTTGTACCTGTTTGGGATGAGGCTGCTTGGTCGGCGTCATGGCTGTCGCCACCCTCCTCCTCCTCCTCCTCGTCGTGGCTCTCCGGAATTGCTTCCTCCACATCGTCGTCCTCGTCCTCGAGCTCTTCTTCGTCAATGGTCCTCGGTTGGTCTTGAAAAAAGCGGGAATTATGTCGGTGCAATTCTTGTTCTAGTTGTTCGTTGGTCATCGCATCCCCATCCCTCCTTACGTAACCCGTATCAAAATCATCTTGACTTTGAGATGAAGAGCCGATATGTGATTTACCTTTGCGGGATCTCTTCCTCGCAAGCTCTTTCGTTCGGTTGCGCTCGAGGTTACCCATATCAACCGAATATCTAGGACGATCCATCTAAAAAATGTAGCGATTAATAAAAAATTGTAAAAAACTAATTAACTATTTATCTAACTATTAATTCGAGTTATAGCAAATTAAGTAGTGAATTAACTAGTTTTGTGTACAACATATTTTTTAAACTAGAATCAAATGTAGCAATTAATAAAAAATTGTAAAAAACTGATTAACTATTTATCTAACTATTAAACAAGAGTGAAATGTAGCAAATTAACTAGTAATTAAACAAGTGTAAATAATAGAATAATTTCGTACCTCTTTCGGACTTTCGGTCTTTCGGATGGGAGTAATAGAATGACTTCAAATTAATTAGATATAATTCCAACTATATTAATAGATATAATAAATATATAAGTAATATATAATTAGATAACAAATATAAGTAATATAATACTATTTATATCTATTTATAGTTTATATAAGTAGATAATTAATATAAACTATAAATAATAAATATAATATATTGGAGAATGGAGAATAAGAGAATTAGAGAGTAGAGAGTTAAGAATAGGATTTAGGAAGAATTGGAGAAGAGATATGAAAAAATGTTTAAAATTAGGAGTATTTATAGGTTTTTTTACCCCCCACCCCACCCCCACCACCCCCCCACCAGCCAACCCCCCCGGACCCCCCCCTTTACCCCACCCAACGGCTATATAGCCGTTTGGGTTGTCCCCAGCCCCACCCCCAACGGCTAGTAGGAGCCCAAACCAATTTTTTTTTTTTTTAAATAGACCCGGACCCGGGCCCGGACCCGACCCGCCGGGCCGGGTCACAAAAAACCAGAACCGAGCCCGCCCCGCCCCTTCCCATCGGTTCGGGTCCAAACCCGGTCCCGGACCGCCCGACTGGGCCGGTCCCGGGCCCGCACAGTACCGGGCCGGGACGGGTCACGGGCCGGTTGGCCCGAACCGAATCCATCCCTAGTAATAAGAAGATAAAGAATCAAGAAAAGAAAGATATATAATACTAAACATAAATTTATTGAGTTAAAGAGAATGACAAAATTCCCGGGGACAACTACTAAATAAAAGAACTTGCGATGTTTAATGGAACAAAGGAGACGAGTGATACTACACATTAAAAAGTTTTGGACAATTTTGAGAATAGTGTTTAGAAACGATCAAAGAAGTAAAACAGAAAGTTATAATTCCAACAATAGCCTTCCGGAAAGCCTATGATTTGGATCAATGGATAGAATGCTTTCATGGTCCTAGAGACTGCACCCACCGACCCGACGTTTAAGGTCTTCCCAATGATCCAAATTCAGTCGCAGGAGACGGAGAGAATCTGCTGATCAATCTACATGGACGTTTAAAACTCTCTATTTTGACTGGTTTTCCTACAGAGGCGGCTAGGAAGATTACAACTACAAGCATATGTATATTATCAATGTATTCAGTACAAATAGCACTTTTGTATTCAGATTTCTCTACCTTTTTGGGTTGGGTCGAGAATTGGTTGTACGTTTCTGCAGTCCCGAAAGATGTGATTTATTTTTAAAACGCCAAGGAGTTCATGTGATTTATTTTCGTTGTATTTATCAACTCTATGGTGTCAAATAAAAAATAAAATCCTGCGACTCTCCAAGAAACAAAGAGGATGTCAAATCGCATTTTTTCATCGGAAACACCAACACAAATATATGGTTCAAGTTTCAAAATAACTAAATAAGGTTATGAACTAGGTTTGAATACCCAGAAACACTTATCTAAAAAAAAAGAAAGGATGACACCCCATCCCTGAGGGCCCCCCAACCCCGACCGGACAGTACGTTGGGAGGATGTAAGTTGGACTATAATCCCAATCTGACAGATAGAGAGTGGGGTTCTATCCCCGGTACTTGCAGAGGCCCTATGCATTTTTTAGCATAGTAACCCCTCATCGCAGTTGCCGGGATTCGAACCCGAGACCTAACCCTTGTGGCACTCCCTTCCTACCAGTTGAGCTACGCCCACCGGTAAAAATCAAAAAATCAAAAAACTTGTGGCACTCCCTACCAGAAACACTTATCTAGTATCTACTCATCGGATGTGCAGATATAAATTGAAAGGTAGAGATTCGAGAACAAAACAAAAATCTTTATTTATTGCCTTGAAAAACTGAAAAAAATGGCAACTTCTGTCCTCACCCAACTAAAAAAGCAATACAAAATTAATGTAATAATGGATGTAAAACATACAATGTAACATGATATTTGCTATAAAAAAACTCAAGACCAGACCAGTCTTTCCTCCACATAAAATACTCAAAGCTCTCCATCTACATTGTCAAACTGTCTGGGTTCTCAACGATCTTTGAAAATGATTGAAGGAATGCAGCCAAGTCAGCACCATAGATGATTCTGTGATCAGCTGTGACATTTACCTATGAAGAAATTATACACTTCAGTTTGGAGTAACTTACAAAAAGTCATACATGTACACATAGGATTACTACATAATATTACAACAGATTTGCATGTACAACGAAAATGAACTGGTTCAAACAATGTGTCGAATCATATTTCCATTTTTTGAATGAAAACTGCGCTTCATTTAGGGTTTCTTTGGAAACTGGAACATGGTGGCTAGGGAAATAAAATATGAAGGAAAATATAGGAGTGTTTGGAAGGAAAGAAAGTGTTGAGGATACTAAAACATCATTCAAACAATATTTATTAATTTCTATCATTCAAATTCTATGCAAGTTAAACATATCATCATCATCATCATCATCACCCCAGTGCCGCAAAGGCTACCACCTACGGTGGGGGTAAGGGAGGGTCGGATGTACGTAGCCTTACCCTTGTTCTAAGCAAATAAGCAAATGATTTTCCTTAATAGTTTCTAGGATCCAAACATATCCTTACTTAAAAGGGAAATTACCCTAAATAGGACTAAAAACGTTTGTGTATTCCAAAATAGGACTATCATGTTTTTATTCCCAAAATATGACTAATTACTGCCATGTTTTGGCAATACAAGACTTTAAACATGACAGTATTTTCCAAACGTGACAGTAATTACTCATATTTTGGGAATAAAAACATGGAAGTCCTATTTTGGAATTTTGAATCTTTTTTACTCGTATTTCGGGAATTTTCCGTACTTAAAATTCTAATAGGCAATCCAAATGGAAACTAAGGGGGGTGAGTGGGCATGCCATCACCATACCAAAAAATTACTCGCATCCACAAAATATTACTTGGTCCAGAAAGAGAGTAGTTAGGTCTGCCTCAAAGGAACTATGCCACTCCATCCCCAGGTATTAGAAACCAAACCCAGCGTTGCCATAAAAGTAATCAAAGAATTGGAAAACAAATTGATAATAAAGTTATAATAATAATAATAACAAGATGGAAGACATACCAGCATCTTCTTTTTCACGCTAAAAAATCCATCAGTGTCAGTAACAATAGTAGGTTTTGATGCCCCTACAGCCATAATGGCTCCCTGAACATGAATAAGTTGTGTAAAGCAGGATGCAAATTTATACGGGTATGATAATTAATGATACATAAGCAAAGGAATACTAGAATTTGATCTACTAACCTGCCCTGGAGGAAGAATTGCATCAAATCTATCAACACCAAACATTCCCAGATTGGATAATGTGAAAGTCCCTAATTTAAAAAAAGAATGCATCAGATGGTCATGTCTTAGCAGATAAGATGGCGAATTTTCCATGAAAAGTGCTGCTGCATTTACCTGTAGTATACTCATGTGGTTGGAGTTTTTTAGCCCTAGCCTTGTCTACCAGTTCTTTCCACTTTTGAGACAAGAGATAAAGGTCCAACTACAAGAATGCAATGAAAGAGCATAAGAAATAGCAAATAATTGAAACACGTTCACACAGTAAGCCTACAAGAAATATCACTTTTGTTTGTGTTCTTGAATAATAGAGTTTGTTTCTTGAATATTGTGCTGAGATGGCTTAACATGTCCGTACAAAAATGGGCTCGTTGGAGCCTACAAATCATGAAGTCTCTTTATTCATTTTTGAGACTTATAGTATCAAATTTATAATTGGAGTGAAGTACCATATGAAGACTTAAGTTATATCTTACGAAGTATTGCCAATGTTGGGTTTAAAAGATTGAAATGCTTTAACACTTGCCTTATCGGCATCCTCAAGAACAGGAGTTATTAATCCCCCATCAATGGAAACTGCAACAGCAATATTTATATTGCTATTGTATGTAAAACTCTTCCCATCTTGGCAAGTTGAATTTACAACTGGGTGCTGAGCCAAAGCCAAAGCTGCAGCTTTGGCTAACAAAGCAGTCATAGTGACTCCCTTTCGCTTTACCTGAAATTTTTTCAAATTCCAACAAATATGAATTATCCAGCAGCAATATTTATACTTGCATCCATCATGAACACGAAGATTGTAGCCCAATAAATAAATTCAGTGGCAAATTTCATTAATAGCACTAAAAGCATCACACAATTTTTAAACAAGACCATTATTGATTTTTCGGAATATGACTCATCCACTACTAGACAAAGTACTCCCTGCTTCCCACTATTTGTATACCATTGTTCTTTCATACTACGTACATCAAAGTATGTTTGCCTCATGCCATATTTGGTAAAGTTTGTGTGCTTCAAACTCATCAATATTTACAAATTCAACATCAACCACATAATTTCACTTTTTTAATACTCCCTCCATCCCGTTGGAATGTTACCGGTTTGACCTACACACATATGAAGGAAATAAACTTACAAGGGGGTAAATTTCAACAATGTTTCGACACTGTTTGGCACTGTTTCGACACTGTTTGACCCTGTTTTGATGTAGTATAACTTTCCATTTAGGGAAATGGGAACTTTCCAACGGGACATCCAAAAAAGGAAAGCGGGAACATTCCAACGGGACGGAGGGAGTATGTGTAACACTTCTTTATGGGAGGGAGGCAGTTTGCCAGCTTTAATAACTATTTTTACCTTTTTACTGAACAAATCCTATTTCGAGGACAAACTAATGATACTTCTATTTGTGCACGTTGGCAGGTGACTCATGTTTTACTCCTCTATAAAGCAAATTTTACAAAATCAAACGACCAAAAATTGTACTCCCTCCGGTCCTTAATGAAGTTTACACAATTGTACACTGTTTGACACCGTTTGACATTGTTTTGCACTGTTTAACACTGTTTGGGGTAGATTTGTTTGCGTAAAGTTTAATATGGGACGGTCCGGAAAGTTTAATAAGGAAAGTGTAAAGTTAATTAAGGATTAGAGGGAGTACAAGTTACCAAGTCCGATCAAGTATCACCTTCTCATAGAGAGAATCAAGGGAGTCTGTGACTATGGGATATCCTACACGGAATGTGGGCACAGAAAGGCTATGTATCATATTCTTGGAAACTGCAGCCTGCATTGCAGTAAAAGGAACTATAGTTGAGCCTGGAATCTCAGGATAGCTAACTGGAGTAGTTTGAGCGGTGGAAGCTGTTGGAGCAGGAGTGGCAGCCACTGCAGGTGAAGCGCTCTTCTTAGGTGCAATTCCTGCGGCCTTCTCTACATCGCCTGCAGTTATCCTGCCGTAGGGCCCAGTCCCTTGTACTTTATTGATATCAATTTTGTGTTGCTTCGCGACCTTCTTCGCGAAAGGTGTAGCTACTATCCTCCTCGGTCCCTCTGGAGAAGCGGAAGCAGCTATAGGGGGCGGAGTGGTGGTGGCTTCAACTATGGGAGGGGCAGAATTGGTTGAAGCAGCTGCAGCAGTAGGCGGAGCTGACGAACCAGATTCTAAAGACAGGGCTTTAGCTTTCGCCTCAGCCATATCCTCTTCAGACTCGGCCAAAATTCCAATTGTTGCGCCGACCGGAGCCGTCTCTCCCTCGTTAACAACAACAGCGGCCAAAATGCCGCCGTAAAAAGTCTCCACGTCCATATCGGCTTTATCCGACTCAACCACGACAACGGACTCTCCTTTGGATAGTACTTCGCCCTCGGACTTGATCCACGAGACGATCTTGCCCTCGGTCATGGTAGAGCTAAGCGCCGGCATGAAGATCTCGCGGATCTTTGATTGAACAGGAGGGAGCCTATTCCGCCGCATTCTGGTAGAAAATGCCGTACCATTGTAGCGCCGCACGGGCGAAGCAGAGGAGACGGAGGAAGAGAATGAGAGTGCCGCAAACTGGGATTGAACGATCGACGCCATCGGAAAAATAATGGAGGTTAAGAGGTAGGCGACTTGCGATCAAGGGAATGGAGTTCTGGTGGGGGTGAATTGTGATGAGTGGTGAGATTTCGGTAATATGGGGAGTGAAGGGGAAGGTTGGGGCGGAGAAGACGAGGTGCAGTCAGTTTGAGCAAAAGAAATTGCTCCATGACTAAAATATGTACTAAATCAAGTATATAGGAATATAGGAATATAGGATTAAGTATATTTTATTTTCAAACAAAAGTTTATTTAATCCTATTAAAAATATAAATATCGATAAATGAGTCATATTCTAAGTGGAATACAATGAAAGATTCACTTTGTTTATGTTTTAGTCATATCAATGAACTTTTTCTATTACTAATCCATCAGATGAAACAGCGAAATGTCACATGAAGTTAATTTGACGTTAATCCTTTGATATCATTAACACTTAAATATCTTGATTTTAGTTAAGAGATGTCAAGAAGCCTACCACAAACTATGTAAACTTGAGTCAATCAAACATCCGCTAGGTTACAACAAGTACTACAATACATAGGGAGTGTTTGAGATCGCTTCTACTTCGAAAACATGATTTTTTGAAGTGATTTTGGAGAAAATACTTAATAGTAAATGTCAGTAGTCTTTGAGAAAAAATTGGTTCTGAAAACGTAAAAGTTGGTAATGTTTGATAAAATAAGTGTTTTTTGTGTGATAGAAAAAATGAAAAACAGTTTAAAACACTTTTCTACCTGCTTTCGGATTTTAGATTTTAAGTGCTTAATTTAAGCAGAAATTGTCATTTGAAAACACTCGTTTCAACTTTTTTAAGTGAAAAGCTGAATAGCAACTTTTTTTAATCTTTAGCAAATACTCCCATATTCTTGTGTAAATATCTTTAGCTTTTATAATAATGTACGTAGTATGTAGTATCTAATACTATCGTATAATTCAATTGGAGGACACTGAATTGCTACAATCTAGCCAAATATTTTGTAATATGATGATATAACTATAATTTCCTGAGGAAATCACAAGTTTAAGTGTCATTTCAATTAAAGATGTTGACATTATCTTTCATCAAACACTATAATAGATTTAAAACATATCCAAAAACCATTTAAAATTAGAGGTTGTCATATAAACCTCGGTTCAACTTTTATCAATTTTCGGTCAAATTGAATAGAAACGGATTGGAATAATATTTAGAATATATTAAGGTCTTATTGATTTTTTAAATACGTATCAATTTTATTCTCTTTTTCGTTATTTTAATTCTATTTGATACGATTTGAATGAAATACTATCAAACTCAAATCGAAATCGAATTGCATAAAAATTGATTTTTCTTTGATTTGATAGGGCTCCATTCGGTCAAATCGAACCAATTACCCTCTTGACTAAAAATCATCTTGCATTTACTATATAGTGTATTTCGAAATCTATATCAAAGTGAGCTTACATTTTTCAGGTTAAAGTTAATTACTTATACATCATGAGATTCAAAGAAGTTAGAGCTAACTCTTATACTTAAATGAGATTCAAAGAAGTTAGTTTACAAATTTGTTTTGATCCTTGATCTCTCTACCTGTTTCACTGTCACAACATTACTTCAAAGGGTCAAAGAGCACTGACGAGCTAGTTTTTGTGTGGAGGTAAGATTTGGATTCTATTTTAGAAAATGCTAGAATTGTTAAGAAAATGATATATTATCGTACAAATACAGAACTTTTCACCTGCAAACTTCATATTAAGCATGGTTAAAGTGAATTTATATTATGATTTTGTATTATTTTCCTTTATTCAAATTTACATTTTCTATTTTCAAAAAGTAAACAATTATTGAAATTTTATTTATTTTTATGCTCTTAATTTTAAAAATCTGGATTTTCTATTTTTTCCATTTTAGTATTTCTAGTTTCTTTCTATTTTTTATTATATATTATTATATTCTATAAATTATATTATATAGTTTATCGTTTAATTTTAATGATTTAGGTTATAGGTATTGGAGGTTTTGACTATTTTTAATGAAAATGTATTAACATTATAATTTTATGTGAGATAATGGAAATTGTAAAAAAATGTAGAAAAAGTGTATCACAATGGTAACAATAATCTGAACTATTTTGGTAGAAATAATTTGGACTTTTGGTAAATACTCCGTATTTTTCTAATGTCATTTCAAGCTATTCACATTCTTACATGGGTAGAAATTAAAAATATTAAATTGGAATAAATAGAAATTTTAGATGTTTAAATTAAGTTAGAATAAAGATCTAAATTGTTAAAATTTTAAACAATCTACTTTTTGAAAATAAAAAATGTAAATTTGAATAAAGGAAAATAATACAAAAATCATAAATTGGTAACACAACTGTGAAAAACAAATTGTAAAAATGAAAATAATGAAATTTTAATGAAAATATAAAAAAAAAAACGAAAAAAGATTAACTATAGTTGAAATTATTTATTTATTTATAGCTTACTAATAATTCGCATTTAAAATTGACTTGATGATATACTAGATTGTAACATGTTCGTGACTATTTTTGGAAAACAGTCCTTATAATTGTAACTAAAATAGTCCTTATAATTGTAACTATCCAAAAATAATCAATAATTGAGATTATTAACGACGAACAAACAATAATAGATTTATTATTTTCAATTTTTCCATTACAAAACATCCTAAAATTCTAAAAACGAATTGAAAACCGTGAGGCGTGAGCACCGAAAAGTCAACGGCACAGTTGGGTGTTGTGCAATAATGAATTAATTCCAATTTCATTTCCAGTTTTTCTAATAGAGTTGAATATATTGTATTAACAAAGTATGTTTTGGAAGGAAAAAAAACGAGAATCAAATTATTGATATAGTATTACGTATAATTTAATATAGTAATCCAACAAAACTGCACTCCTTGGAAACAAATCCTGAATCATCTCACTGGTTGCAAGGACCAGAATGTGGGTGTCAGCGGAGATAACTTTACTCCCCTATCCTGCGAGACATAGCTGGGAAAAGATGCAAGAAAAACTTTGATTCAGGATGAAGCCTTGGTAGCAGCAGATTGCTTCTTGGAACCTTCTTGTTTCTTCTCAGGGTTTGCAGCCTTTTTCCTGTCCTTCCTCTCCCTCTTCTTCAAAGCAGTCATTCGAGCCTTCAGTAAAATTGAGTAGGAAGCTTGGAAACGCTGGTGATCTTTAGGGCCTACCTATTAGTCCATTCAAATCATGTATATAGTTAGTAACAAGAACAGTGATGAAAACACCTCCATAAATAGAAAAGCATGACAAGGAAAACGTAGAGAATAGAGTTTGTTCTCTAAATTTGTGATGTCTACATTTAGCACACTTTAAAGGGTGAAGGCACGAGTTTGTTCAATTGTTCATCTTAAGCTATAGAGTGGTTAACCAAATCCGATTCCCGCTGATATATTACTCCTGATTCAGAAATCTATCCAGCCTTTTTTTAAGTGACCTTGATGGAGCAAATGTCTATTACTGAGTGAGATTACTCATTCACAAGACAACCCAAAAATCATCATAGACACATCTCAATAAAGACACATCGTAATCCAGACATGACTTGATGAAAAAGAGTAAAATCCCCTTTACTCAAGAGACCCCGAGTTTTTCACAACTAGCCACAAAACCACTTAGGATGCTTCTTTTGGACTGAAATTTGTTGGTCTAGTCTGGTCTTTTAAGTTGGATCTCGTTTGGTCGGGTTTGAAGTGATCTGGTCTGGTAAATGTCTTGTCTCCGTGTATTTTATAATTGTCCAAGTCATCTGGTCTGTTTAAGTCTAGTCTGATCAGTTTAAGGTTGTGTTCGGCGTGCACCTTCAGCTCATAATGAGCTGGAATTTTTAAAGTTCAGCCCATAAATAGAAAAATGATGTTGTTTGGATAGGAGACTGAACCTAGCTGGAGCTGATAAAAATTAACTGATTAGAAACGTTACGAGGTCAAACGTTTCCGTTCAGTCGATCAGACAATAACCTTCCATGCCTAAATTGTCCCTGCCTGCCATCCTTCTCTTTCGCCTAACAATTTATAACGGACCTCTATGTTCTTCTTCTTTTTTTCTGTCCAACACTTCTTCTCATTTGAATTGGAACGTAACAACAACGACGGAAACGGCAGGGCTGGCAGACGGCGGCAAGAATCTTTGTCTTTCAGGCCCTTCTAAGTTGGCTGCTGCAATTGTAGGAGTAAAATCCAACTTCCTAGATTAGTAGAGCAGTATGATTTATACGTATGGTTTTTATTAGCAAATTTGTATCTACAATACACTTTTTCCACCTCACATGGCAAAGATTAGCAGAGGGGTTGTGAACCCTTGACCACCAACACTACCAGAGAATTAATTGTTTATGCTTTGTGAGTTTGCGTAGAAACTTTTGGCTTTTATTCACAGAGTATTTTAGTTTTGAACTTGGGATTGGTTTACTAAGTTGAATTGTATATTCCTTATAAAAGTGAAAGTGTACATGGTTCATAATCTAAAGTGTATATGGATGATTGAATACTTTTGTTGATGTTATATTCGTTGCCCGGTAATCTATACGGAGTATAATGTTATTTATTTATGTAGCAACCGTGAGAAAAATGGAGACCAGAGACGTAGTCTTAAATATCATACGACCTTTAATGTAATTTTATTATATTCAGGTGTTTTCAGCTCTTTTTAACAAACGGATCTACTTCATTCAGTTAGTAATTCAGATTCAGTTTCAGACAATAGGTTTTAGTTCAGACAATAGCCCCTAATTCAGACATTAGCCTCCAATTTCAGCTCGTTATGCCAAACATAGCCTAAGTCTAGTCTGTTTAAGTCTGGTCTTATCTGGTCTAGTCTGTTTAAGTCTGGTTTGACCTGATCTAGTCTGGGACTAAAAACAATCCAAAAGAAAACATCCTTACAAGGAAAACAGGTGACATGCTACTTACTAGGGTCTCAACTTAAAAAACAATGTAAATATGAAACAAAACCTAGGGGGTACTTAATAAGTGTGTGAAACGTGTTTTCCAGTTTCTATTCAAGGGTTTGAACAACTAAGACACACCATTGTTGTCACAAAGCAGTTCCAAGATTGATTTTCACTAATTAAAAAAAGTTTCAGACAAGTGTTAGAACTCTGCTATTTCAACAACTACTTCACAGAAATTCAACAAGAAAGTAATCTGCGCAAACTTTATTTCTCAAGGTAACAAGGCAACAAATGAGCTGAAGCCCCCCAAAGATAGAGTTACAACTCCTATCTTCCCTGAAATGACTAAAGTCAGAGAAACAGCCTCCTCACAATATCCATCTTCCTACTATTTATAGTATTACAACTCAACCGACTTTAGTTAGTAGCTACTGACAGAAAACAACTATTAACAACTATTCTATTTATTTCTTCTAGTATCTATCCTTATTACTATAAGTAGTCATAACCCTAACAATACTCCCCCTCTAAACATCCACCTTGCCCTCAAGGTGGTTGATAGGAAACAGCCAAAATCTTATACTTCCTCTTCCTCCTTGCGCTTCTACCTTCTCAATATCTCACTTGTTTCAGAGCAAATAGCTTTAGTACATAATCTTTCCAACTCCCAAATGTTTCTGTAGCATAGAATATTTCTGGTGAAGTTTCATTTTCTTCACTAGCTTTTAAGCCTTCCATAGCTACAAGTATTTCGTCTTCCTGAGGTGTGTCACCTACACCCTTGGTAAAATTTATGTGCATGCCCTGATCCTCTTTGTCAGTGTGATGCAACACAGAAACTGAGCAACATCTTGTGCATGAGAACACAAAGTCAACTCCTACAGCACCGCCACCCAGTGCAGTTATAATTCTGTGGATCCCCATTCTGAGTACAACTTCATTTCCTTCTATCATCACCATTTCATTAATTGCTCCATCTGTCTTTGCAGAAATGTCTCCCCTCATGAGATATCTTTCAGTTGCTTTGAATGGATTATGTAAGCTAAGCTGGGGGTAGCTTAACCTGCTCTCACCCCATGGCTGCAATTCGGTTTCTTGTATTTCTGCAACTTGCATAACTGATTCCTCAGTTATGTAATCCACTATTGTACCATAGTTTGAAGAATTTGCCCACTTGTCTTGTACCCATTTGGATACCACAGCAGGTAAAGAACCTGCTAAGTTTTTGACCATTAAAGTTGCAAATAACAGTGAATTTCTGTCAAGGTTTTGGAAAGGCTAGATTTTTCATCATCATGAATCATTAGACGCTTTCCCCATATGATAGCAGAATCTCCCGAGAAAAGGTAAACATGATCCTTATGAACCACTGGACCATACCTCTTTTGTTCCAGGCATGAATTTTCTAAAAACAAATCCTTTGGTTGTGGAGGTTGTTGTCTTTTGACAAGAACCGTTTCAAAAGCAATTAGGACTCTACTTGCAAAGGAACATGGGTGGATAAGCAGATCCAGAATAGAAACTTGGCTGGGAATTAAACCCACATCATCTGTAAGATTAGGAGAAACGTAATCTGGCAAGGGACTAACCTGTCTTTGCTCCTCGATTTTGTCCTTCTTATTTATTTTCTTGATTCCAGATTCAGTTGTCTCCCTCTCAATCTTCTTTATTGTCTGGGAAAAATCCTGCGCTGGTTGAGAAATATCTGGCGACAAAACTAGTGAACTAGAAGATTCTTCTTTCAATAGCTTTGCCTTGTTATGTGAATTGATCGTGGATGGGAGTACCTGCAGACTGAGGTCTGCTGTTGCGGTTCGCTGTGCGCTTAGCGACCATTCCTGCGAACTGAGCGAAGCCGTTCGCGATTGCGAACTGGAAGATGGGATTCGCGACTGCGTAATATGAGATGTTTGTGATTTCGACTGCGATGAAGATTTCTGCGAATGGTGAGAAACTTCCGCACCTTCTGGTCTATAGAAGTTCTTCGCATGTCTGTGCCCCGAGGAGCGATGCGTTGAATGCGAAGTATGCGACCTGCTTCGGGATCGGCTCTGGTCTCGATTATCCCAGGTCGTGAACTTCACCTGCACTGCTGCCAATAGCTCCGCGATTTGATTCTGACTTTTCTCCAACTTGCTTAATCGTAAATCCATTTGCGCAGAGTAAAGATTATCCACTCGTGCTTCCATCCTTGTGCGCATTAAGATCATCAACAGTGATCGACGTCTCTGATACCAATGTTAGAACTCTGCTATTTCAACAACTACTTCACGTAAATTCAACAAGAAAGTAATCTGCGCAAACTTTATTTCTCAAGTTAACAAGGCAACAAATGAGCCGAAGCCCCCTAAAGATAGAGTTACAACTCCTATCTTCCCAGAAATGACTAAAGTCAGAGAAACAGCCTCCTCACAATATGCAGCTTCCTACTATTTATAGTATTACAACTCAACCGACTTTAGTTAATAGCTACTTACAGAAAACAACTATTAACAACTATTCTATTTATTTCTTCTAGTATCTATCCTTATTACTATAAGTAGTCATAACCCTAACAATAAGATCCATACAATGCAAAATTGAACAAAAATAAATTCTTAAAAAATGCATTAGAAGTTTTGTACCATGGTAGAAATGTTCTTTTTTCCATCAGTTGCTCGAATAAGGCACTTATATTCAATTTTTTCACCAGAAGTCTTCAGTTTATTTCGTTGGGCTTTGGACTTATCAGAAGCTGCAAGCTCATAATGCAAAGAAAACATTATTATTTTGATAAAATCTAGCAACAAAGAAAAAATATCAGTATAGACACTATATTACAGTGCTTTAGTGTGACCCAAACAGAGCCCTTTTCCATAGTTCGCTCGAACATGCTTGTAAGTTCATTGAGGAATGGGTCGGGCTGTAACCGCACCTAGTAAAATCAAAAGCAAAAGTAAGCAGTGTCAGATACTCTGAATCTAGAAAAAACATATTCCTTACACAATGAAGCATGGGAAAAGAGTGTGTTTCTGTTTCGGAAACTCTAGAGATACTCTTTACAAACCTTCCAAACACTAGTTTTTATATTAAAACATGATGTTTCCCGTTTCCCCATGTTCTCCACGTTTCGATGCAACATAACCCTTAAATGCTCATAATTTAATGAAAAGTGAGAAGTGTCTATGAGAAGTGCAACATAACCATACATATCCACTGAAGGAGAACAGTACAAAATATATGCTGGTACACAATTACAACAGCAAACCATAAAATGCATTTGATGATGAATCAAATCCTTGGAAGCAGACTAGCAGCAAATTGTTTCTTAGCAGCAGATTGCTTCTTAGAGCCTTCTTGTTTCTTCTCAGCAAAACAAAAAATGCAATGAGCTACTTATATTCCAATTTCCAAACACCCATCTCGAGCCAAACAGAATCTTGCAAACCAGCTACTATTCAGACTCAAGAGCAAAAACTAGATGTTGCAATGAAAGACAGGAGTACAGGACAAACAGAATTGCAAAGTAAATCCAGTATCGATTTAGTAAACCTATTTAGGCAATCAATTGGCAAGGTCTAAAAGAAATGCAATTTCAAAATGGATCACACCTGTAATTCCATGATTTCTATAAAAGGAAAAAATCAGAGAGTTTATATATACACAGAAAGATCTGTAGATTCATCAAATGTATGAGCTTACCATCTTCCAAATGTGTTTCTCGGGAGTATCACAGAGGATGTAAAACAGACAGAGGGAATAGAAAGTTCCTCTTTTGCTTTTCAATCACCCGGAGTTGAGAGTGTGGGAAGGGCTGAGAAAATGGAGACCCTGTGCAACGAAAAAAATTGGGCCTTCCATTCCAACACAAGTAGAAATAGAACATAAATAAAGGTGATAATAGGGATAACATACTAGTAATGTTTGTTAAACTACAAATTATTAATGAACATAACAGTAAAAATAAAAGTTATTAAAATTTAAGTTGGGGACTTTAAATTAACAACCCAATAAGGAATAACATAGCTATACCAATTTGTTAAATACTTCGTATACAACAACATTACCCCAGTGCCGCAAAGGCTCCCGCCTACTGTGGGGGTAAGGGGGTCGGATGTACGTAACCCTACCCCTATGGCCCTATATTAAAGAAAATCTATGTCTTTCTCTCTAACCTTCTCTTATCCGATTGGATTTTGCCTTCTACTTCTGTATGTGCTTCCCACTTCTGCTCCTCTTTCTTCCGTTCCTCTTTCTTCCGCTCGTGTTTTGCAGGTATGCTTTTTTATTTTTTGTTCCCTTCTACTCTTGGTTCTCTTTTTATCTTAACTTTTTATATTTATAAAATGATTTAAATTATTTAAATTTGTAACCATATAACAATCTGCCCTAAACCCTAATCCCAATCAGAGAGTTAATCAATTTTAAATAAAAATAAAGATGGTTTGTCCTATCAGATTGTTTAAATTCGTACTTTTAACCGTTTGGCAGTAGTCCTCCAATTGTCCAACAGTAGCAGATTGTTTATTATTAAACAGATGTATATGACAGTTTTTTATTATTAACAATTTATTATATAACAGTTTATTACAACAATTACTATTAATTATTTAAAATTTCGTTTTTATTAGTGTTTATTAAGAGTGTATAATGGTTTGAAGTATTTTTGTGATGTTATCACTATTTGGGAAGAGTGCTTCATGTAGAAGTTGTAAGATATATTTTACCCGCACGGGTAGCTCAGTTGTTCGAGTGGTGGGAGATTTGGAACAATGGACCAAGGTTCGAATCCCCGCAGCGACCGGGTGGAGGTCACCGTGACTAACCTCCTCACCATCCTGTCGGGTCGGGGTGGGGGGCTCCTGGGGTGGGAGATTCCACCTATTGGAACAATGTAAGATATATTTTACCAAAAATACAAGTTAAAATTCCGTGATGCACACGCCTTCGCCTCGAGGCCTCTGGTAAATTCAATGAAAACGCCTCATTGCCAGGGGCGGATCAAACTTTGCCATCCGGGGCGCCATATTTAGTTAAATAACGTATATTGCCAAAAAAAGTCAAATATAATATAATAAAGTGTATTTAACAAAATTTATTTTAAGCATAAAATATCATCTATTGCAATAAAACAACCAAAGATGAAAACAAATATTATAGGTATAAGAATTTTTACCAAAGTCTAATACAAAAAACCCCACAAATTGTACAATTGTTCTCTACACGTTTTCATCGATTGATATCTTGATTAGCTTCTACCTCAACATGGTTATAGTATCTCTTCATTACCTTTATTGAAAATAATGAGATTACTAGTTACTACACTAATACTAACTAACTAACTAAATAACTACGTATTTATATTAATAATAACAAATCACATTAGAACCTACGAATCACATATCACAAATAGTCAAAAGAATCAAATTGAATATAATGTAGTATAACACATTAGAACCTAAGAATCACAATTCACAAATGAAATTGAATATAAATTGTGCTCATAAATAACACATTTACACACCTAAATTGAATATAAAAAATACAATAACACTAAACAATTAACAAACTTATCGGCCATTGGGCGAAGAACATAATGGCATGAGACGAGAGACGAGAGTGATAACTCATAAGTCAAGAACCAAATTGGGTATAGAAAGAAATGAGAAATACTTTACAATTTTAGGACCAAATGCGTAATACTCCCTCCGTCCTCTTTTAAATGTCCCGGAAGAGGGTGGCACGAGTTTTAAGAAAAGTAGGTTTGTGTGGTTGATATTAATAGATAAAGTAAGAATAAAGTAAGAATAAAGTAAGAATGATTTTGAGCCACACAAACTTTACCAAATAAGGTATGGGACAATTAAATAGGGACATCACAATAGGGTAAAATGGGACATTTAAAAGGGGACGGAGGGAGTACGTATTAACTCTATCTACTTTCATGAAATTGGAATGCTGGAACTCGAAATAGGTATTGAATTATTCATTAATTCATTCATATCAAACAGGCAGTAGAAACAACTTCAGGGGGGAGCTTAGCTTGTTCGGTACTTCAAGAAAACCAAAGCCCCCAACTAAATATCAAAAAGCCAAAGCCTAAAATGGAATTGAAATTACAGAAACGAAGGGTAAAGGTAGAAACCTGGATGAAGGAAATGGAAGTTACGAACTGATGGGGCGGCCGAGTCGACTGCCGATCAGCGGCCTGGGTGTGCGTCCTTGCTGTGCCGCTGGGGACCGTGGTCTCATGGTCTGTGGAGATGTATTTGGAATTTCGAAGTTTGGGCTGTGTTTTTGGGCTTGGACAGTTGGACGGCTGGCCCCTATTGCTTGGAAGATGGATTCTGGAGGAACGGGATTTCTAGGGCGGGCCAGATTTTTTATTAAGGTTTTATTTAGGGTGGGCCTGATTTATATATACACTACTGGTTAAAAATAAAAAACTGAGTGTGGGCCTGGGCCCTCCCAGGCCTTGAGACCAATCCACCCCTGAATTATTCCACCATTTTTTTTAAATATAATTAGTTTAATTACTTCATCAATTAATTACAAATTATAAAAAATAAGAAAATAATCTCTTGTTGTAAAAAAAACTAATTTGTTATAGTTTAATTACTTCATCAATCACAATATCACATACCCTTCCTCTTGAAAAGGTTTGTCAAATTGTCTTTTCTTGGTCAATGACAATAAACTTTGACCAATGATATTTTTAATACGAAATTATTTATAGTATGAAAATTATATCAAGATGTTCCTTATTCAACATATTTTCATTAAAGTATAAAATTTATAAATTATACACCAATATAGTAATTGTAATCATTACTCAAATTTTATCATCATTGATCAAGAAAAGACAATATGGTAAACCTTTTTGGGACGGAGGGAGTAATAATTTACAATTTGAAAGAGACAAATTTACCCGATTCAACAGATCAACGATTCATTACTTGAGCGGCTGAGGGACACATTCAGACACGCTTGGCAGCTCAACGAAGACGCAGGTTGAACGACTGAGCAGACGGGTGGCGTGGTGCGGTGGCGGCCCTAGATTGTGGTCTACGAGTAGTTGTCATCACCTCGTTCGTCTCCCATTTCCTGTTTTTTTCCCTGCAGAGAGTGATTTGATTGACAATTAGGTGGATGAGTTGGAGTTCTGAATTGTCGAACGTATGTCGCATCATATCCAGATTCCAGACCCAGACTTCTACTTTTATTTATTTTCTTGGATTTAGGATACCTAATATACTACTCTGTCTGTATCGTTGGAAGGTTCACGTGGGTAAATGACACGATTTTTTTAGACAAAAGGTTAAATAATGTAATTTGGGTAAAAATGATAGAAAAGAGAAAACTTAGAAGAAATAAACATATAAATTGATAGTCATTAAAGGGAGATAAGTTGAGGGAGGAAAAATTGTGAGACTTGACATATAATGAGTATGAAAGAGAAATTTGAGTAAAGGTGCAATTAAAGAGAATAAATTATTTTTTAAAATGGAATGAGAACCTTTAAATGCAGTGGCGGACCTAGAGATTTCTCATAGCAGGGGCACACTAGACACTAAACTTACTCTATAATAAAAATTTCAAATGTAATAAAGATGGTAAAAAGTAAGGCAATAGAATAAATTATACGGAGTAGTTAATTACATATTAAATAGTTCATTTCTGCAACTTTGGTAAATCAAGCCTACAAGTTTTCATATTCTGAAAATGTTGCATAATAGTTTCATTATCAATACTTCTAAAAACATCTCTCTCGATGTAGCACACCAAACAATCTGTAAGATTATCATCTCTCATCTTTTTGTGAAGATCTGTCTTGATAATATTCATCGCGGAGAAGGCTCTTTCAACGGCGACTGTTGCAACTGATAATACTAAAGACAACTCAATCAGACGATATACCAAGTGAAAAGAATTGTGAACTTTAAGCTCAACCATCTTTTTACAAACTTCACCAATAGTCTGTACGGCAGAAACTAATTAATTTGTTCTCATTTCATATATCCACACCTGGAGTTGCTCTTTCAGCTCTGTTCGATCAACAAATGAAAAATCGCATGAATATAATTCCGTGAGGTTTAGTAGCTTTGACTCACAGAAATTGGAGAACTTATCTTTAGGATCAAGACATGCTAAACAAGTGAGTAATTTTGTGTTTGATTCACTAAAGCGATTCTCCATCTCAAGTGAGTAATAATAATAATAATAATAATAATAGTAATAATAGTAATAATAATAATAATAATAATAATGATGATGATGATGATGATAATAATAATAATAATAATAATAATAGTAATAATAATAATAATAATAATAATAATAGTAGTAGTAGTAGTAGTAGTAATAGTAAACACCTGGCAAAATATAACAACTCGAAAGTGATGATAATTTGTTATCGGGAACCAAGCATTTCAGCCCAGCTGATTGCGAGGTTACCATGCCTAGTGAGAGGTCTCGAGTTCGAAACCCGCTAGGCACATAAGGGTTTGAAACTCAATGAAGTGAGTTTCAGTCCTGATTGCTCCAGGCCCCCCAACCCCCCTCCCCCAGACGCCCCCTGGAGTAAAAAAAAATTGTTATCGGGTGACGAACGTTTCTAGAACGGTGTTTTGTCTCTTCCATGTTAAGAATGTCAATTTTGTTCTTGACACAAAAGTAGTTGACATCTTCCAAGAGATCATCCCATCCACTTTCTCTCAAATCTTGAAATTTAGCTTTAGTGCTTTTAACTAAGCTCACAGCCTCGAGAATGTGACAATATATTCGTCAATCCCAATACTTTTTTCATCAAATGAGCAATAACAACAAATTGATAACTCTCCGTCTTTTCTACCAGGCTACTAGCAGTGCCTCTCGATTTTAGATCAGTTCCATCATCAAATATATTATCAAGAACTTGAATAGTAGGAGACCACATAGAAAGAATACAAATAATGGTTATATGATGTGAACCCCAGCGTGTAGCTCCCGGCCTAGCTAAACTAACTTCTTGATTCAATCCTCTCCCAGTTGTAAGTTCACCCTTTTCTAACATCTCTACCATGGCTTCATGTTGTTTTTGCCGAAACTCGTCTTTTCTTTACAAGAAGACCTTACCATGTTAGTAACCATGGACAAATATTCAAAAAAGTCACTCACAAACTTATTTTTTTTGTGCAATGGCCACAACAACTAATTGCAATTGGTGAGCAAAACAATGAATATATCTTGCGTGTGGATTTTCATTCAAGATTAGAGTCTTCAATCCATTAAGCTCACCTCGCGTATTAGAAGCTCCATCATATCAGTGACCTCTAATTTTGGAAAAAGATAATCCACTGCTTGAAGCCAATAACAAGGACATCTTCTCTGCCATTCAGAAGCAGCAAGGTCTCATTGAAGGCCTTACCTCTGTCACTCAGACTCTACCAGAGGCCCTTGAGCAGATAGCCTCCACTCAGGCCTCAGAGTTTCAGAAAATAAGCCTGATGATAGAAGATCTGCATGATGCCAAAAAGGGGGAAGAGGACCCTCAACAGACTAGGCCTCGATCCCACAGAACTCTTGCTAGGGCACCCTCCTCTGCTGAGCCTACAGTGGATCATGCTCCCTACTTTGAAGCTGCCCTACAGAAGAAGAGAGCAGCAGGCATACCTAGACCCCCATCTCCAGTAAAGAAAGGCACCAAGAAGAAGAAAGTTTTTAACTTCACTGAATGGAGATTGGGTGGATCTCAGAGAATTCACAGAGCTCAATTTGAAGATATGAAGGCCAAAATGACTCCCACCCAACAACAGCACCTCTATTTGGACAAAGATGGTGTTGTGAGAGTTAGGTATGGGGGATCTTTAGAAGAAGCTGAAGAATGGTATAAGAAGAACATTGTCCCAGGCAAGACAATACATGAAGGTGTTCTCAGCTATCTGGACTGCAAGCTTTCTCCCATTTGGGCATCTTATCAAAGCTCTGGCAACCTTTCCAAGATCAGAGCAGAAATCAATGAAGATCTGCTCAGGCTTCAAAGATTGGAGGAAGAATCTCTACAAGCAGCTAATCTTGAGAATGTGTAAGGATTATCTCTGTAAATCTTATCTAATAAAATCACATCTCTGCCTTCTCACTTTGAAGTGTTTTTCCTCATTTCCTGTCTTTTTGCCTTCTGCTTGTGTTTGCTTATTTCATTTATATTCTGCTATCTGAATGTACTGTACTCTTACTATTTTCCTATGCCAAGTTGCCCACCAAGATTTTAATGGAAGTTTTTAAACTTTAATCTTTCTTTATGGTGAAAGCACTTCTCTGGAAATAGTTAAAGGGTTTTGGCATCATCAAAAAGGGGGAAATTGTAAGGAATATTTGTATTTAGATTTTGATGATGCTAGATTAATTGGGACTTTAGAGTACCCCTATTTAGACTTAATGTATTAGAGTTTTCACTTGTAAAGTTCATAGTGTAATCGACTTGGCAGAATGCCTTCAGAGCAGAAGACCTTCTGAGCAGAAGGGCTCCAAGAGCAGAAGACCCTCTTAAGGCATTATTGAAACAGAGGACCTTTGGTTCTCTGCTCCAGAACAGAAGACCTCAGGGTCTCTGTTAGTCTTTACTCTGATAGAAACCCTTCTGGGTCTCTGTTGGAAATATTCTCAACAGAAGTGCTCCAGACCTCCTCTGTTCAACTCTCAGTTAAAGACACCAGAAGGTCTGACACTTAGAAGAATTCCACAGAACCGGGAAGTCAACTAAAAGATTCCTTCAACGGCTAGGAGTATTGAACGGAAAAGCTACAGTGCGCGCATTAAATGCTCATTTAATGCACCCCATGCTCCGTAGAGTAATTGCATATGATTGGCCGCAATGTCAGGAATACTTTATCCCAAAATAGTAACCCGCCAACTTTACCGGGCTCTACTAGTCAAGTCAACTGATCGCTCATTTAATGCAGTTTTCTTCCTACTCCTCCAACGGGAAGACAACATCAGTATAAAAGATACACTACGAAGAACAACCGGATAACTTTGCAACTTTTGCTAAACATTGCTACAACTCTTCATACAAGAAATTCAAACGCCTAAAAGCAAAAAGCCTCCTTGAGATTAACACTTCATCATCTTCTACAAGAGAAGGCAGAAGTTGGAAAAAGACTTTTTCCAACTCAAGCAAAGTTCCAAGTGTTCTTCAACTCTTCAAGCTCATCACATACAAATCCTTTGTAACGAAGCTAGTTGGAGGAACCCCTGTGTTAACAGAAACTCTTCTTGCTACAAGAAGGACGTCCAAGTAACTGGAGTAGTGAAGTGGTGATACTTCCAGGAAGCTCAGTGAAAGGACCAGTCTTAAAGGAA